GTCTGTGATTCCACGTGTATTAATTTATTTACATGAGTAAAATATAATAGTCTACGAAAACTCATGAATTATCTTTCCTAATAAAATCCGTATAAATGAATACAATAAAATAAATACTAAGAAAAACGATATTTAAGCAAAAATTAGATCTTAACGTGATGATAACCATTTTTTATTTTCATAATGATTCAAATAAACGTGATAAAAATTTACTTGATAGCAGTAATTTAATGCCTGATGAGCTCAGATAATTTAAATAAACATTATACGTGAGTAGAAACGCTTCGTCAACGGGAAAGATGAAAAAGATATTGTAAGAGATCATATGATTCTGAGTCACAATTTAGACTTTTTACGACAGTAAGTCTAATGTCAAGTATCATAACAATAGTTTCATAATCCTCAGCGAATTTTGATTTAAAAATAACTTTATAGAAGAAATTCTTTTTTATTATATTTTATTATACCAAAAATTGCTTCCTTACGTCATTTGTTATATATTTAATCTTCCTAAAAAATGTTCCTAAAGAAATTAATTCTTGGAATTGATCCTTGTGATTATTATGTTCCCCATGTGTTAAACACATTGGATTAATTAAGAGCACGAAATCAACACGGTAGACGAAGCATGGCATCACGCACGAATTGAGTCGAATACCACAAACGTGCGACAGGGGATCAGCCATCTCGTTATTAATTAATGACTGGAATTAATTATGGGAACTCACTTGCACGCGAGCATTATCAGATCGGCTTACATTCTCAGGCGAATCGAATAACAGTAATCAACACCTTTTCAATGCAAAATATGTATCTTCGTATCCGCACAGTGAATGAAATTACAATGCGCATTATATAATATTTATTTTCAATTCATAAAATAATAATCATAGATTATGAATATAATCTGAATTAATTTTTAAAAAATGTGTTGTTGGAAACAAAATTTTGTGTAAGCAGGAGACGCGAGCTGAAATCCATTTCATTTTATCAAAAAGTAAAATTAAAGTCATGACGATACAAAATTAATCCATATTGGATTTATTTAATAGCATGATCGAAAATACCTCGCCTTGTATATCTATATTGAAAAAGAAATGAAATTCTGGATTATATGTTTCACAAATTTCAAGATGCCAATGAGATTCGCTAAATATACGTCAAGTTAATTAACACCTTCGTTGAAACGGACGTTAATGCTTGGGTATGGGTATATACGATGGGTGTGAAAAAGCTTAATATTGAATGCTTCTGAGAATATGTAATCATATATAAGGTAACTTCGGCAAATATGCCGTGCTGGGATTTACGCCGCCGAAGTCAGAAAAAATAGAAGGAGTGGGAATAATCACTCTGTTATATGCCTTTATGTTATATTAGTATGTTATATTAGTATAATGTTATGATTTCAGATTTCTTACTGTTAATATTAATGAAATTATTGTAAGTTGAATCGATTTGTCATTGTGTTAAATAGCATCATCATAAATTATAATCTACATAAAATGATTACTGTAGTACATGTAAAAGACTTAATGATTATTTCGTGATACACGAGGAATAGTAAAGTATATTGTATAACAAAATACAAGTATTTTGCTCTTGTATTCTTTGTCTAGTTTGTTGTCTTATATATCCCATCTGTTTGGGATATACGGCATTTTTAGCAGGCAAGATTTATGCATACAAAGTGCGCAGATTGAATTCAGTGCACTAAATGCAATAAACGCATTACATGAAATGTGTACCTCATGTCATAACACTTGTGGAAAGATTGTAATTATTATTTATTACTTCATATACATATTTATCATTCTTATTCCTTAATAAAACTTTATAAACGCATTTTATAAATTATTGTGTCATTTTATATGCATTATGTATAAATTTTTCATGAGCCATACATACCTTCTTCCCCCTATGAATAGCCATATAATCCATCTCTATGGAATATACAACAAAAATGCAAGGATTTAAAAAAGTTCATTTTTTATATAAATATTTCAGATTTCTACAAAACATTTTTTTTATAATAGTAGACAGTAAAAAGTCTTTACTGATATAGTTCGTTTACTTTAAATATAGTAAATAATATTTAATAAATTAAGTTTTTATTAAGTGCGGCGTTACGAGCAAAATCAATTAGTACTTCGCTACTGTTTAACTAATTTTCGTAGAACTTTTACTACATAAATGCATTTTTATTAAGGTATTGAAATATGTAATGTTACCTTCAGAGAGAAAAAAATATGTTTTTAAGAAAAGAGAACATTTGAGATCAAATGCCTTAAAAAAATGAGATATCTCTTTACAAGTTCCTAATTATAATGCAAGAAGACAATTATAGGTCACGTACGAAAACATGTAGCTTTCCAAATAATTGACTCGATCGCGAACAAAATTTACATTTTGTTTTACATTTTAATTTAACCCTTGCATTACCTTCAAGTTGAACAATTCAGGCTGTTTCACGATCATAATATTTTCCCTCAAATTATTGAAAGCAGTTTACGCATCCGGATAATATGGAAGAATTACATGAAACAAGAGTGGTTAACACACGGTAAATTTCGATTGACTGTGGGGGTCAACGATTGGTCGATCAAGTTCAGCAGCCAGTTAGCCGACAGTTAGTCTGCTGTCGTCCGGCTAACGACTTAATGACGGGAATTCACCACTTACGAGTTCCTCTTTTTCTCCCTCATTCTATCCTCCTCTCTTTCTCTCTCCCTGTTTCTCTTTTGTCCGCAGTTCTTTTCCCCTCTTTTATTAGCAATGCTATTCCTGTAAAACAACGCGGTCGACAGACCAATAACAATGTCGAAAATTAGTCGACGCTTAAACAGGATTGTCATTAACTATTATTGTGCCGCATAATTAACTGTATACGGAAGAAATAAATTCAAATAAGATAATCAAATACGCGCCTAAGAGTGAACAAAATAATGGATACGTTTTTTCCTTAGCACTTTCAAACTTTCTAAAGAATTAAAAAAATTCTATTCCCCCTTTTCTTTCTTTTTTGAATTATTTTAAATTATTGTAGAACTATAAAAATATTTATTGTAGAATTATAAAAATAGATATTTAATAAGTGCTATTAAAAGGAACATACTTAATTCTCCGTCTTTAATGATGTAACTTCAATTCATGAAAATATAAACGGAAGTTACTTGTAACTAATGTATTTGTGTGAACATATATATATCAAAACTTTAAAAAGTCTCAAGTTATATATACTGTTTCCTTACTATCGATTATTCATATATTTTTGCAATTATTCTTCGTTACTAAAATAATAGTATTTAGCATCGTAATACTAAAAAAATATCGACATTATGATAAAGTATTATTATACACAGATAATTATTAGGTCGATGTAACTACAGTTATATAACAGAAATCTCACCCGCCACTTTCATGTCTTCTGCGAAATAAATTGTCTACTTTTTCCTTTACATCATATTATTATATTACCAAATATATTTTAATTCTGATTTTTTTTATCTTTATAAATATAAACTGTTATTGCATTTATAATTGCATTTTAAGATCAGAAAATAAATATGGGAAACCTGTTCATAATCAGTTCAAACAAAAATTTAATTGCATGCGCTGGAAATATAAATGTTGTACGATATAATATTGGTACGTTGTACGATATTATATATAATACGAAGACATGATTTCTTAGATAGATTTAATTATGTTGTTATTTAATTAACGTTGGGATTAAATGTATCTATCGATTTAAAGTTTCTATCTATCTCTTTTCGTTTTCATCGCTGTTAAATGAATTGATCTATTGCACCAACTGGTGTGTAAAGATAATCATCTTGAACGATATCGTCTACGGCACATTAAATTAAAGTTGAGCCTTATCCAATAATCGCCATTTAATCTTTCCTCAGGATTCAATGTATTTCAACCGGTATATCCAATATTACAATTAATGTTCAGAACATTTGTAAATCCATGATTTAAAAAGCTTTCTCATATTACATGTGACAAATCTTTTATATATATATATATATATATATA